ATTCTACCTCAAAGGGGTTGGGACTCACAGGTTGAGAACCTGTGTTTTAGAGTATTGGGGGGCATTTCCTCAAAACACATTCTAGGGCTTTGATCTCTTCTTGTTCCAACCATGTAGTGAATGGCTTTGCTCCGTCACAGGCTCAGAATCGAGTTTTTCTCTATAAGTTGATTATCTCCAATAGTTTTCATTTATCTATTTGAGTATAGATATGTGCATATGAATGCAGGGGCAGACAGAGACCGATGCCCGAGATCAGATCCCCTGAAGCTGGAGTCCCAGGTGGTTGGGAGCTGCCTGACACCTGGGCTGGGAACCAAACTCAGGTCCTCTGGGACAGCAGATGCCCTGATTAACTGCCTCTCCACCCCGGTTAGGTTTTGCAGAACAGAAAGCTGACACAGGCGGATCCCAGGAGCCCTGGATGCCTTTTCAGAAAAAAATCCTTGCAGTCCGAGTTAAGCCTCCCCGATCCAAAGGCTACTTGGCTGTTATGTTGTGTGGGGGGAGTGTGAGATTTTGAAAGAGTACAATTCTGGCTACTGGATCTAGAGGGTAACCCCAATGTATGAATTCTACAGTAGCACTGTCCATTTCCTAGACGTTAGAAGCAGGTATTTATTCACCTAGGGAAGAAATGAAACATACAAGCTCTCCACGAAGAACACACTCCAAAGGTGGCTGGGGAAGAAGCAGCTCTTACAGGGTGATAGGGCATGCCTGTCATCCCAGCACTTAGGAGGCAGAGGCAGAATTGTTCCAAGTGTGAGGCTAGCCTGGGCTACACAGTAACAAAATGAAACAACCAATCAAGTAGAAACAGAGAAGGGAAATAGGAAGAAGGAAAAGGAGGGAGGTAGAGAGAGCTAAAACTAAAGAACACAACAGGAAAATGAGGCTACAAAGAAGTTAAGGGACCCTGCTATAAACACAACAAACCAAAACTGAACCGGAAGGTAAATCCAGTTAAAAAGACACCTTCAGCCGGGCGGTGGTGGCGCACGCCTTTAATCCCAGCACTCGGGAGGCAGAGGCAGGCGGATCTCTGTGAGTTCGAGGCTGGGCTGGACCGACAGCCTCCAAAACAATACAGAGAAACCCTGTCTCGTAAAAACCAAAAAAAAAAAAAAAAAAAAAAAAAAGGCACCTTCGTAAAGCCAACCGTTCACACACAAGGGCAGAAAGCCAGAGTCTAAGGGCTATGAGCCAAAGCCAGACCTGGAGCAACTGAGCATAGCGTAGAGCTCAACTCTTCTAACCCACGGGTCCCTAGGAGAGGGGCCTTATCCTGGGTACACCCTTCACTTAGTGAAATAAACGCCAGTGTGTATGTGCAGCTAGCTCTGGGGGCTGCAGTTCCACTAGCGAAGGCTCTCCCGGACCTAGGGCCCAGCCAGCAAGCCATCACTACTGGCAGTCATCCTGAACTCGCTGTCCCAGGAGCAAGGCCCCCCTCCACCTCACAGACACAGAGCTCACAGTCACAAGGACAACCGGTTACTGTCAAGGTGGAGCCCACAAGCGGCTCCAGGACGGAGGAACCTGAAGCACTGGAATTCCAAGGCTAAGGCAGGCTTGAGCTCCATGACAGCCTGTCTCAAAAGAGGGAAGGGCTATGAATGGAATGTTCTGGGTTTAAGGTTTCCTTTCAATTAGTCGGAGTTTCCAGAGGCCTTGAACTGTGCTTCATCGAGATGAACATTTGGAAGTACAGCTAACTGACTGAACAAAAGGGAACACTGTGCGACACACCTCAGCTCCCAATGCCACCAGGACAAATTGAAGAGGTGTTGGAGAGGCAGGAAAGATGGAGGAGCGAAGAGGTGTGTGTGTGTGTGTGTGTGTGTGTGTGTGTGTGTGTGTGTTTGCTTGTTTTGTTTTGCTTTTTTAATTGGGGGGCACTGCAGGGGTAAGGGGAGGATATGGAGGGGATGAGAGGTGAGCACATTTAGGATGCATGATGTGAAATTCCCAAAGATTCAGTAAAGAAATTCTGTTAAATAAAAAAAAGTCAGGGTTTTGGCTGGGCAATGATGATGCACATCTTTAGTTCCAGCATTCAGAGTAAACATATATAAGCAGTTAAAAGCATAGGCAGGAAGATCTTTGTGAATACAAGGCCAGCCTGGTCTACAGAGCTAATTTAAGACAGCCAGAGCTGTTAGAGAAACCCCGGTCTGGTAAAACAGGGGGAAAAACCACTAAAAAACAAACAAAAAAATCCCCCACAAAGGTCAGGGTTTCAGCCCGAGGATAAGGCTTGGTATTAGAACACTTGCTTGGCATGTGCAGGGACCTGGAAAGCCAAGCATGGTGCCTTCAACCCCAGCACTTGTGAGTTTGAGGTCAGTCTAGTCTATATATTGAGGACCATTCTTTTTTTTAAATGTATTTAACATCTTTTTCATTTATTTTACGTACCACCAATTTTCCCCTCCCTCCTCTCTTCCTGTTCCCTCCCCAACTCCCATCTACCTGCCTCTCCACCCTCTCCTCCATTTAGAATGGGGCAGGGCCTCCCATGGGCTTGAACAAAGCATGGGCTCTTCAAGTTGAGGTAGGTCTTCTCCCCCTTCATCAAGGCTGGGTTAGTTAGCCCAGCATGGGAAACAGGTTCCTAAAAGTCAGGTAAGCATCAGAGACAGGTTCTGATCTCACTGCTAGGAGCATTGCAAATGGACCAAGCTACACAGCTCTCACACATGCAGAGGGCCTAGGTCAGTCCCATGCAGGCTCCCTAACTGTTGGTCCAGAGTCCATGAGCTCCCAGTAACTCAGGTCATCGTCTCTGTGGGTTCCCTGGCCTTGACCTTGACCCCACTGCCTCTTCAGGAATCCCAGAGCTCTGCCCAGTGCTTGGCTGTGGATCTCTGCATCTGCTTCCATCTGGTACTGGATGAAGGCTCTCTGACGACAATTAGGGTAGTCACCAATCTGGTTACGGCAGATGGCCAGTTCAAGCACCCTCTCTACTATTGCTAGGAGTTTTAGCTGGGATCATCCTTCTGGATTCCTGGAGTTTCCCTGGCACCAGGTTTTTGAGGCCCATTCTTTTTTTTTTTTTTTTTTTCTTTTTTGGTTTTTCGAGACAGGGTTTCTCTGTGGCTTTGGAGGCTGTCCTGGCACTAGCTCTTGTAGACCAGGCTGGCCTCGAACTCACAGAGATCTGCCTGCCTCTGCCTCCCGAGTGCTGGGATTAAAGGCGTGCGCCACCAACGCCCGACCCCCACATCCCAATTTAACCCTCCCGACTACATATACATACTTTTCCCCAGAATTAAAAAAAGTCTCTCCCATCCCAGTTTCCAACATCCTACCTTCAAATAAGGAAAGGAAGGCTCCCTTAAGAATCCTGGGATGATCCTGGCTTTGGTGGCACACACCTTTAATCCCAGCTCTCGGGAGGGAGAGGCAGGTGGATCTCTGTGAGTTTGAGGCCAGCCTGGTCTACAGAGCGAGTTCTAGGACAGCCTCCAAAGCAATACAGAGAAACCCTGTCTTGAAAAGCCAAAAAAAAAAAAAAAAAAAAAAAAGGAGGGGGGGTTGACATTCCCTCCAGAGCCTGCACAGAAGCCCGAGAGCTTGACTGTTTATATTGCAATCAAATATGGTTTGAAATGTGGAGAAGGCCCGAGCTGGTGAGAGATCACTGACTCAGGTTTCACAAATGCGGAACCTGCAGAAGACCAAACTAGACTCCCTGAATATAGGTGGCAATGGCAATGCTGGGGCAATATATGAAGCCACTAATAGTGGGTCCAAGGTCTAAGTCTAATGCACAAACTGACTTAGTGGAGCCCATTCTGTATGGAGAGATGCCTTGGCTCAGTCTAGACATGGTGGGGGTGGGTGGTATGCCTTCGTCCTGCCTCAGTGAGATGATGGGACAGATTTCCTAGGGGAGGCCTTACCCTCTCTGAGGAGCACATGGGAGGAGGAGTGAGGGGGAACTGGGATTGTATTGTAAAACATAAATTAAAATATGCAGAATGACACTGACATTCTTCCTAGTGACAAAATGCTTTGTGTGAAAAGTGTTGGGGTTGATTCTGTTTTAGAACTAAGCCCAGCATCACACAACAACACCCCCCACCCCATCCTGCTTGCTCTGTGCTGGAGGTGTGTGTTAGTCCTCCAGGGAGCAACTCAGAACTTGATCAGCCTGAGACACAGAGCTCAGCCAGTTAGTTCCCAGATAGCTAAACCCCAAGAGAAAAGAATAGGTTCCAGAGTACTGTTGGCTTTCAGTGGAAGTACTGGGCAGCCAGGTGAACACACAGACGTAGGTCATGGATGGTGCCGGCTCCTCTATTGGACCAGAAACAATCAACTTCCCCAGCGCACCGTGGGATGTTTTGTTTCATTGTGGCTCTTCTTCCGTCTTCTCTGCCACAGCTCTCTTTTGTATCTGTATTTCTGTTGTGGCTGACGGTGCACCATGTGGTGCTATCAAATCCTTCATCATCCCAACCAGTGAGCATGTCACCCAGGAGACAAGGTGCCCAGAGTAAAACAGGAGGGGACCTCAAGGCTAGGTTTGGGGCTGCTTCAACAATGACTGGTCTGACTGGAACCAGGTGAGAGGCACCGATTGACACGGCACACAAACCATTTTGAGCATGCACTTCCTGTGGATCAATGAAAAACCTCCCTTACATGCCTTTTGGTCTGCGCCTGAGCAATTGCAACCGGAAAGGGATTGAACAGACAGGTAATTTCCACAGACAGGACCCCTTTATTTGGAAGCCATCCCCAGCCACCACATTTGATAACATATTTCAGAATGGCATCGGCAGGCAGGGCGTTGGTGGCGCACGCCTTTAATCCCAGCACTCGGGAGGCAGAGGCAGGCGGATCTCTGTGAGTTCGAGGCCAGTCTGGTCTACAAAGTGAGTTCCAGGACAGCCTCCAAAGCTACAGAGAAACCCTGTCTCGAAAAACCAAAAAAAAAAAAAAAAAAACCAAAAAAAAAAAAAAAAAAACAGAATGGCATCGGCTTCTCAGAGGGCCAAAACAGGCTGATGAATCCCTTTATTCCATTTAAGAAAAGCTCCAAGAGAGTAGAGAACAAAGTGAGGGAAGAGACCAACAGTAAAAGATACACTTTGACGTGATTTTTTTTGTAGTGCTGGGGAGGGAACCAAGGACCTTAGGCATAGTTGGTAAGTGTTCTATCATGAAACCACATCCCAGATCCCAATATATATTGCTTTATTTCATATTTCAGTGTCACTAGTCAAGGAATAATTATAATTATAATAAATATATTTTGTAGTACAAAGAAAAGTTTCTGTGCTGCAAGAAAGTACAGATGTCACTGACTTAAAAATGCAAAGTTTTGTTATTTAAAAATAAAACACACGCACAAGAAGATTCAGCACATGGTCAGTCTGCCCTAATATTGAAAACATCAACTATTTTTAAAAAATTAAGGAACTAAAAGGGGAGAGAGAGTTCTGAGCTGGTTATCTAGTGTCCCTCCTCTGTCTGCTCCAGTGGCCTGGAGCATTCTCTTGCCACAATGGCACAAAATATATCATCCTGAGAATAAAAAATAAAAGGGTGGAAAAGCAGTGTCTCCAGCAAGTCACAAAGACAGCATCCTTGTAACCTTGAGCAAGCAGTCTGGGCCTGGTTCCCAAGCACTGAAGGACTTTATAGCAGGAATGGAAAGAGTCCCAGGCCCAGTTACTAAAAGCCCCAGGCTTAATTGTAGGCTCTCTACTCATATGGACATCATTCTCAATAGTATGCTTCACTGGCCATAAAACAAAAAGAACTTAAGAGCCATCTGTGGTGGAATGTGCCTACATCCCCAGAGCTTTGGAGGCAGAGGCCGGAAGGTCAAAATGTATAAGGTTGTCCTTAGCTATACAGCTAATGTGAAGCCAGCCTGGGCTACATGAGACCCTGCCCAAAAAATAAAAATAAAAGCTATTTAAATAAGGAACTTCTTTGCTAGAACAAGGCCAGAGTCATGGTGCTGGGCTAAGTCCCACACAGGGGCATCAGGACCCCAGAGATCCTATTGAGGACAACCAAGAAAACAGGTGTCCTGGAAGATAATTGCTGCTCACTCCCTGGACCCCAGTTTCTACCTCTGTTACACTCAGAGTGAAGCACAAGTTCAAAAGCACATGTTTCTGGAGAGCCACTGCCCTGCACCTGCAGGGGGAATTCAGCTCAGTGCCCAGGGCTTGGCCTAGTCCTCTGGAGCACATGGATGCCTTCAACCCCCAAATGTCTGACGGAACCACTCTGACCCTATAGGACTGATATTGGCGGTGCTGCCCTTAACAATTCCTTACATTAAAAAAATTTTTAATTAAAAAAATGCTATCCAGGAATGGTCAAAGATAGCCATGACTACATGGACCCCCTCCCTGTGCAGCCTGGACATGCAATGCTCTCGGAGGAGAGATACACAACTCTCTCTTTAGGGGATACATGCTTCACCCTGACTCTGAACAAGAAATTATTGTGGGCTGTTTCTCTTTCTGAAACAGAAAATGGAAAGTGTACATTTACTATGTCCGTACATTTACTACGTCCGTCAACTTCAGCTCCGAGGATGGCTGTGCCTCCAGCCGGTACTCATTGTCCTCTCCGGGGGACACTGAACGAAAACTACCAAGGAAAGAGTGTCCCTTCCAAAGAGGTTCACCACATTGGATCCTAACACAAGACTCAACAGCAAGCCATGTTCGTGGCCTCTGAGAAGGATGCTACATATTGAAAGATCTAGACTCCACATCTGCCTGACTTGGGGAATCTTCAGAAAGAACCTTTGGAACTTAACATTCCAGTCCTATGAGAGGATAACCCTGCAAGGAAGGTAAAGCCAAAGCCCGGGGCAGGGCTGTAAACATTGTAGTTTTTCTAAGGCCCAACTGGTACATGGCTTTGGCAGCTGTGGTTAATCTCAAAGAGAAGGTGACAGGCAAGTTCCGGGAGCACAGGACATATCTTTCCACATCCTAAGACAAGGCGCTGCAGTCCCTGGAGGAGCAAGGAGCACACTGGGAAGAAAAGGACTTCTTCTTTGGCCAGGGCTACAGGGTGGATACTTGGGTAAATCCCCTACCACAGTCCTTATTCCCATTGACACACTGAGCACAGGAATGTTCCAACAGGGTGACAAAGTGATGACACCTCCACCAGTGACGTGGCTCGAAATGGGGCAGGAGCTGTCCTGCAAGGTGTCAAGAAGGAATCAAACTTCTCTGCCTCCCAGTGACACCCTCACTAGATCCTGTGGCCTCCAGTGAAGACTGCTGTGCCTCAAGGAAAAGGCCGGATGACAGCAGATTGAGTCCCCAAGGAAGCTGAGCCAGGGAGGCTGCGTCAGCACCCGTGTCTTTGCACCTATGCCTCAGCACTGTCCTCCCCTCAGCAGCTCCTCTGGGGGTCAGACTCCCGGAGCCACCCACGAGGATGCACGCCCTCCTCACCGCCTTGTCTACCAGGACTACTCACCACCACGTGATTTTGAACTCATAGATGGGGCGTTTGCAGTAGTAGTGGTTGACAAGGTGCTTGTCACACACCCCAATGCACTGGTGGTCCACTGTGAGGCCCTGGGCTGACAGGTCTGTGACCAGACAGTGCAACAGGTCATACACATCAGCCACCGCCTCCCAGGGCCCGAAAGACACATCTACTTCACAGTGGTGCTCAAACAGCTGTCCGTCACTCTCGCTCCGCTCAAAGCGAAGGGAGTTGAGGAGAGGACACTCATAGGGGGTGATAGGCATCTCTTCCTTGAAGACACAGACTTTGAGCTTGGCAAAGCGGGCCTTCCGCTGGACTGCGCGCAGCCGAGCAATCTCCACGATCCGCTCCAAATGGTCTAGAGTTTAACACAACAGCCATCAATAGACAGAGGTGCAACAGAGGGAGAGATACACACAAACAAGACGGAGACCTACACCTAGTGACAGGATGCACGGAGACAGAGGGTGACTTCATGGGGGACTCCATGGACCCAGGAAGGGCACACTTCAATAAAGGCCATGGTTTTCCAAAGCTAGGAAACCCACACAGGATGAGGGCTATCCTCTTGAAATTGTATCTGCTGGCTGTCCTGGGAGGATGGAGGAGGAGGGGATGTCCTTCCCAACTTTAAAAGTCCCAGTGTCACTGAAAGAGGGCAACATTTTCTCTTAATCTGGATGAATGCTGGACCCACCTACTTTTGGGAACGGCCTAGGAGCTGAAAGACACCTTGCAACCCCCTTTCCCGACTATGCAGGGCAGACGACCCTCACCTTTGTAATAGGGCATGAGCCCCAGAAAGGCCTGGCGCACCTTCTCGCCCTTCAGTGGTTGCATGTTCTCCAGCTGCTCCAAGAGGGGCCCAATGGCATAGTACTGGGCCTCTTTGTGCACGGCTCGCACATGCTCCCGGGGCGGCAGGTCCCCTGAACGCAGGAAGTTCAGCACATCTCTGCAGGAAAAAGGGTGAGGAGATGAGGACCATGGGGCAGGTGGGGGCTATCAAGGCACTGAGAGCAGAATGTGCCTGCTGCATAACTTAGGTTAAGTGAACTTTGTGTGATCATGTACAAAACGTAAGAAAATTACCTCACTGGGTGTTGGTGGTACACGCCTTTAATCCAGACACTTGGCAGAGGCAGGTGGATTTCTGAGTTTGAAGCCGGCCTGGTCTACAGAGTGAGTTCCAGGACAGAGAAACCCTGTCTCAAAAACAACAACTAAAGTTCAGTCATAACATAAGTGCATATATAGCAATAATTGTAGTTTTACATGACCAGTATTAACAACAACAACAAAATTCTACTTGTCTCACATCCTTATCATTAGTATTATTCTGTAGCTTTATGGAGAAGACAAAATACCAAACAACGTGGGAACTAAGTAAAGTCATAAATAGTTTCTTAAAGTACATATTCAGTACTTTTTTTCTCTTTTGGTTTTTTTGAGACAAGGTTTCTCTGTGTAACTGTCCTGGCTGTCTTGGAACGTGCCTCAAGACCAGGCTGGCCTTGAAATCACAGAAATCCTCCTGCTTCTGCCTCCCAAATGCTGGGACTAAAGGTGTGCACCAACACCACCCAACATATTCAGTCCTTCTAAACCTTCAGACTCTTCAGTTAGTGCTGAGAGTAGTAATACTCAGGTCTATTGCCAGTAGTCATGGGAATTACATTAACAATTAAACTATAATACAATTACATTAACAATTAAACTATAATACAATAAGAGCTAACACCACTTTTTTGCTTTTATTTTTATCTTTGTTTGTTTTTCAAGACAGGGTTTCTCTGTGTGGCCCTGGCTGTTCTGGAACTGACTCTAATAGACCACGCTGGTCTTGAATTCACAGAGATCTGCCTTTGTCTGTCTCCTGAGTGCTGGGATTAAAGGCATGCACCACCACCACCACCACCACCACCACCACCACCACCCGGTTAACACCAAGTATTAAATTCATTAGTCACTAATCACGTGCCACCCATTTGATCCTTTTAATGACATTATAGAGCAGGCTCTCTTTTAGTTCCAAGCCTGTAAATGAGGCCCAGCTGGGGTCCAAAACGGTATGGAAAACACTTGTCGAAGGAGCCACAGCTGGCAAAAGCTCAGGTCCAGTCACCGCCGACTCTGAGCCTATAACCACAACGATTGGTTCTGACTGCATTAGAAGCAGTCAGAGCAAAGGGCTGTGTGCACAAGGAGGGACTCCCACAGAGGCCCACGCGGCCCCCATGATGCATAAGCTACAACAGCAGAGATGTGTGTACCCTTCCTAGTACCCCGAACTCATACTTTGAATTTCTGAAAAACTCCATCTACTGCTGATAAACCCCAGACTATGGGAGTCCAGTAGCCCAAGCATGACAAGCATGAATGCCACCACATCTTGCTTTCTGTTATATTTTTGCCACTTTCCAGTCAAGGCCAACAGGGCACCGGCATATAAGCCTCCATCTGGATCCTGTTCTCCCTCTCCACAACCCTTTTGGAGATTTTTATTCTTCTTCATTGTCTGTGTGGGAGTGTGTGGTATGTGCACAGAGTGCAGGAACAGGGGTCAGATCCCCTGGAACTGAAGTTACAAGCTATTGAGAGTCACTTGACACGGGTGCTGGGACCTGAACTCAGGTCCTTTGCAAGAGCGGTACACACTCTTCACCTCCAATCTCGCCAGCCACTCCTACCCCCTTCAATTCAGTCCTCTGGGATCATCAATAAACCCTTATGAGCGCTGACAAACAGAACCCTGGGCAAGGCCCAGAGATGCCAGCTGGGGCCCAGTGCTCTCCTCCCCAAATGCCTGCAAACAAAAATCTTTTTATAGTTACAGAGTGATGTGACACTTTCTTTTCTCGCCATCAGAGGCAGCTGATAGCCCACTGGGGAAAACAAAACACTGCAAAACAAGTTATTTGGCCTGAGGCTCCTTCCTAAGGACAAAAATGACCCCTGCAGGCAAGCCTTACTGGAGGTCAACACCAAGGCAATTGAAGAGTTTCTGCTTCCCAGGCCAGTGGTCTAAGGTCAAAGGCCACGCCGATCCTCTCGTCTGCTCCACAGTTAGACTGAAGGAGCAGAGGACTCCAGCCACATGATCTGAAGATGTGACCGAGCTGAGGCCACAACAGGCTCTTCAGTTAACCCTCACCGACAAGCCCACCAAACAGCTACCACAAGGAAACTGATGGACCCAGAGGACCCAGGCTCAGTTCTCAGCACCCACAGTGGCAGCTCACAACTGCTTGTGACTCCAGTTCTAGGGGATCCAACATCTTATTCCAGTCTCTAAGGGTATCCACACACGAGAGACACATGCATAAATAAAAATAAATTTTTAAAAAAATGCAATGAAATTGAAACAGTCTTTATAAGGTATGCCAGAAGTGTTTTCATGGGAAGGTGTAAGAATCACATATACATTTCTTTAGGATATATATATATATATATATATATATATATATATATATATAACTAAATTAAGAATGTGGTGTGTGTGTGTGTGTACTGTTGTTGTTTAAATCCCGGTAACAATACAAGTTTGCTTTTAAGGTTTTCTTAACGCAATGAAGGGGTAGCGGTCCAACATCAGCTTTCTCTCACCTCTCTGTTTGGACCACTGGAGCATCAGAACTACTGTTTCAGACCATGCTTCCTCTGGGTTGCAATAGGTGGTGTTTGTTGGGAGCGTTGAGTCAGGGTCTTGTTATACAACTCACACAGGCCTACAAACACTTGGAATCTTCCTGTGTCCACCCCTTAAGAGCTGGGCTTACAGCTGAATGCTACCATGCCCAACTTGCATGATATTATTGATCCACAGAATCTAAATGTAAAGATTTTCTCCAAGACTTTTGTTTTGTTTTTGTTTTTGTGGTTTTGAGACGGGGTTTCTCTGTGGCTTTGGAGGCTGTCCTGAAACTAGCTCTTGTAGACCAGGCTGATCTTGAACTCACAGAGATCCACCTGCCTCTGCCTCCCGAGTACTGGGATTAAAGGCATGCGCCACCACTGCCCGACTCTCTAAGACGTTTTTAAAATTAATTTATTCAGACATTGTCTGACTCCAAGTGCATTTCTCTATATATCCATATAGAGAATAACTCCCCACGTCTCAGACTGAACAGGGCAGGGAAAGTTCCATAAAATTCTGCCAGCATTGGAGTTTCTCGGACAGGCAGTGGTGTCACACGCCTTTAGCCCCAGCACTTGGGCAGTAGAGGCAGGAAGATCTCTGAGTTCAAGGCCAGCCTGGTCTATTGAGTGAGTTCCAAGACAGCCAAGACTGTTTCACAGAGAAACCCTGTCTCTAAGGTTTTTTTTCTCCTGCTGTACTAACCTCCTCTGGCAAAGCAACTAAGCATTTTAATCCAAGTCAATAAGAACATTTATTAAATTGCACCACCAGGTTATCTTTTGTGGTACCATGGAGTATGCCAACACCCACGATGGAACCCCAGGCCATTTGCTTGCTATGACTGTGGAGCTGATTGCAGAGGAGGAGTCATACCCAAAGTGCGTGCCATCTCGGTCAATGAAGTACCGGCCCTCCGAGTCTGTAGGGATGTAATGTCGTCCGCTGAACATGGCAGCCAACATGGTGTCTTCATAGCGCCTCAGGGTAGACAGGCGTGTGGTAAAGTGAGCCCCTCCAATGTTAAGGGGGACGACCTCAGGAAACTGGAAAGGAAGCACCACAGCTTTCAGACTGGCAAAGTAACGAGAGAGCTGGGCTCCTCCAGAGCAGTCTGCCCAGGCCCGATTATTGTGGCACCATTCACTTAGTCATCCCAAACTCATCTGAACACTTTCCCTCTTTCCTTGAGTATCAATCACCTGTGAGATCTTAACTCAGGTCCCTCCCTCAGCCCAACCCACAACCTCTGCCCAGCTTTCACCATCTTCTCCTTCCCAAACGTATCATCTCCACGTCCTTATTCATGATGTCTCCTTGGCCACAAATACTCTCACTGGCCTCCCCCTACCCAGCTAGCAAATGAAGTTGCCAAATGTGGCGGTATGAGCTGTTGACTGTGTAAGCACCTGACAAGCGTGGCCTGTCAACCCAGCTGCGTGCCCTTTCCGGATTTGCGCCAAGGCACCAGCTCAGGTAGCAGCATTGGTTTATTCTCTCAGTTTCTGTGACCGCTGCTGCTCTATCATCCTTCGTATGTCCCCAGGACAGAATCATGCATACAGTCCTCCATCATGGCTTTCACTACATGTCACACTGTCCTCTGTTACAGCACCTAGGACAACACAGTTGCAATCCTTTTCCTGCCAATCCACTCTACTAGATGCATGCAGATGGCGTGTGCTCGCCAGGTGTGAACAGAGACCAACAGCTGCTTTCGAATGCATCCACACATCTGGTCCTCATTCCTTTCCTCTAACTCGGAGACTTCACAGGCTGTGCACGAGCTCTGCTGCTGAGTGATCTCAATGTCTACCGCATTCCTTTCCTGCTCACTCTACAGTGACTGACCAGTCTGCAAGTCAACTGAAGGTTTTGGTGGGAAGTGAGGACAGGAAAATGACAGTAAAGGTTAGCCTTGGGACCCATAAAGGTCCCTTCCTGAAATGCTACAGAATTAAAAATCTTTCAATGCTCTATTTTCTCCAAACTATATATGAAAGAACTATTTCCAAGTCTAACTTTCCCACAAACTGCCTCCAAATTAACTCAAATTTTATCCCGGCATAAGCGTCATTTCTTTTTCAACATTATAACATCACTCTAGCTTTGGTGAAAGTCTAAGGTCTATATATTCATCTAAAAAGTCCTTTTCCCCAGTTTTCACAAATCCTTTGTTTAAAAAAAAAAGGACACAGCTAGGCATGGTGTCACACACCTTTGGTCCCAGCACTTGGGAGGCAGAGGCAGGGGCAAAATACTCTCTGTGAGGCCACCCTGGTTCTACATAGTGAGAGACTAATCAGGGCTACATAGAGAGGCCCTGTCTCATGAAAAATAAAAGACACAAATGATGAAAAAAAACTTATTTACCTAAGACCTGCCTTACAGTAAAAACTAAAATCAATTAATACACAGGATTTACAATTCTAAGTATGAACTCAACTCTTTTCTTTGAGACACAGTCTCACTATGTAGCCCTGGCTGTCCTGGAACTCACAAAAAGCCATCTGCCTCTACCTCTGGAGTTTTGCAATTAAAGGTGTACACCATCACACTTGGCAAATTTCAACTTTTTTTTTCAATTTTTTGATTTTTCAAGACAGGGTTTTTCTGTGTAGCTTTGAAGCCTGTCCTGGTCTCAAACTCACAGCCTGACTCTTCTGTCATGTGCTGGGATTAAAGCCGTGCACCACCAACGCCCAGCTACAAATTTCAACTCTTACCATGCAAAATGTCTTCCGCTTTTCTATAGAAACTCTAACCCATTCTGTGTACATGCCAAGGCTCAGATATCATTTTGGTATAATGCTTTGCACTTCTGCAGTTCTGTTTTAGAAGTAGTTCATACTAACCCACTTCCTTGTATGCGAAACCAAAAACTGAAGAGTTCTAGATCTCGCCTGGAGGGATGTGAATCATAGGAAGCTGGGACTGAACACCTGGTCTGCAGTTTGTGGGGTTGTGTGCCCTTCCCCTCAAACCACATCTTTTTTTTGCCCAATGACAGTTCACACACACACACACACACACACGCACACGCACAGCACTGCTGTACCTCTTTTGGCTCTTTTCCCTGACTGCAGAGTTATGTCTACATTTTTGCTTATTTTCACAAGTTTCCCATGGTGCTGGCAGCGCAGGGCTTCTAAACCTCACACAAAGTATCACACAGCCTCTGCTGCCTGAGGGCCTCACCCAGCCAGCCCCTTCAGCGGACTGCTCCAATTCCACTTCTGCATCCATCTTCCTGTTTGTCGCCAGGGTCACTTCAGGTGCAAAGAGTCACCCACATCGCGGGCTACTAATGAAGCCACAGTGTGCCACAGTACAGCAACTGATGAATGAGGACCCCAACCCCACCGTCTCCCCTCTGCAGTTCAAGCCTTCGGTGCCCTCCTTCTAGTTCCCGATTTTATCACCTGTATGTCCTTGTTCATGCTGTTTCCTTTGCCCCAAATGCTCTACCACTCATTCCTGTCCATTTTACAAAGGAAACTGCCCCGTGTGGTCTCGTAGCTTGTTCACTGCATGAAAGCAACTGATGGGAGTGGTCGGCCCACTAGGGTGTGCCCTTTTCCTAAACCATACCCAAGTACCACATAGGTGATCCCAATAGAGCTCCCTACACCGCTCCCTGGTCAGCTGGAGAATACACCTGGGCAACCCAGGGCCTCCTTTTGGATTGTGCGGAACATGCTCTGTGTTGAGGAGTCCGGAGTCCTTCTTTAGTTGATAAAGGTGAGACAGGATACAGGAATGGAATTGAACATCCTGGAAGCTGTTAAGGGTGGGGAAGGAGGCACAGGCGGGATGCAGGTGACCCTGGGCAGGGAGGACACACCTTAGTGCAGGAGAGGCATCAGGGGCGGGATGGCTCCCAGGGAGGCTCACCTCCCAAGGTCAGCTCTACAGGCACCAGTCTCTCCCGTGCTTCCCATCCATCGATCCTCCCTTCCCCCCCATCGCCAGGTCCAGGTACCTCCTGGGGCAGCAGGGGCAGCCCGTGCCCCGCCTGCGTGGCCGTAGGAGTGGCCGGCTCCAGGAAGTCGTCTTCGGCTTCGGAGCTGGACATGGCACCGTCCGAGTGACGGCTGTCTGGCTCCCGCCCGGTGACTACCACCATCCCTCTGGCTCTGGGCGGTGGGCGCGGCTTCGGGTAGGCGGGTGGGCGGAGGCCTGAGGAACTAAAGCCAAGCAGTGCCTGACATGTCGAGATGGGCCGCCGGCAGGCGCTAGACGCCGAGGGCCCGCGCGCAGGTGGGATGCCGAGCGCCGCCCTCCAACAGTCTAACGACCACCGCGCCTACAGTTAGTCGCGGGTCTGACCCGGCCGCCTCCTGCTATTGGCCGAGCCTTCGCCGGCTCCGCCCTGATTGCCAGGAGGCTCGCCCAATCACAGAGGACACAGTCCTGCCTTAAGCCGAAGGGGCCGCCGGCCTACCCAACTCTGATTGGCTCTCGGACTGGCAAGCGCAAGCGCAAGCGCGCACGCGACGCCGGCCTGCTCGAGGGTTTGGCCGAAGCGAGGCGATCGCCAAGCGCCGACCTCGATGGGCAACCACCGCATGGACCCTGCGCCGCGAATCGGAACCAGGAGCTTTTTGCTATTGGCCCAGATTGGCGAATAGGTGTGATTGGCAAGGGCCTCGTCCAATCAGAAGAGAAATACGTGCGGCCTCGAGGCGGGGTAGATGTTGGTTGCTGGCTTGGTTTGTTCCACTCTGATTGGCTCTCTGACTAACGGGAGCGCTACCTCCCTGGTCCAGGCGGCTTACCTAGGGCAGCGGGTCTCTCTTCGCGGACTTGTATTTCCGGGCCGCCTCCTGCTATTGATGGAATGCGGTTAGTTAAAAGTCTGGTCCAGCCGCAGAGGATGCACTTTCAGGCCTTGGGCTAGAGTGACCACTGACAGCCGGCTTGCCGATCCGCCCCACTCTTATCGGCCATCTAACTAATGGGTGCGAGCTCTGCACTCCTGAAGCTCGATGACAGCGCTGGTTCGGGGCACGAGGACCGACCACCCAGCTGCTCCCTGCCATTGGCTGTGTCCTCGCCGGCTCCGCCTCTGGTTGGCAGGGAGCCCGTTCGTAGGGGCAGCGCCTTGGTCCGGCTTGCATTGATGGTCCGGCTTGCATTGACTCTGTGACTAAGGGGTGCGAAGCTCCAGGCCACCTTGTCTTCCCTGGCCTCGTGCGTCCTGGGCAGGCGGACAGTCCTGGCTTGGTCAGGCTGTCCGTCTCCGAGGATGCGCTGAGGAGGGCTGAGGGCACAGGCGGTGTAGAAGATGGAAACTGAGCCCTGCAACAACGTGGCTGGCCCTTCTTGAACCACAAGGGTATGGCTGCTGTGCTAGGCTTTTCTGTCGACTCACACAGGAATCTGGTATTTTTTTAAAGGGGGAGCTTGGTGGCTCACACCTTTAATCGCAGCGACTTGGGAGGCTTAGAAGGATTTCTGAGAATTCAACTCTGGTCTATAACAACAACAGTAATAATAGAGTTGTGCATAGTGACTCGCAGTGTAACTCCAGTACTTGGGAGCCAAGGTCAGCCTCGGCTAAGTAGCATGTTTGAATCCATCTTGGGTTACATGAGGGAAAAAAAAAACTTAAAAGGAAAAAATAAATAAAAACCACAGAGGGGAAAAAAGAAAAACTCCAGATAGGAACCATTGAGATCAACGATTGACAGCACCTCCTGACAGGTTGGCAAAGAAGCTCTATAGACAGACAACAGCAAAAGCCAGCAGCCCCAACACCCACCCCTTGCCCCACCCCCACAAGCAGGGTCCCCCTTCTCACTTAGACCTGACCAGACATGCCTCAGTTTTCATGATGCTATGGGCTATCAGCTCCCTCCTGTTGTTTAAATGGACCCATCATAAATAAAGGGATGAAGATTCGCCCTTTACCACTAAAAAGATCCAAGTCCTCCATTAGGCTGGATTCCTGAATCCCTTCTCCACTGGCAGGGAGTCTGCATCTTTTGCTGTGTGTGTGACTTCAGTAAAACTTAGCAGACTGCAGAGACCTTGCCTTTCCTGATTTGTCATTCTTTTCTCCTGGACAGAGAAAAAGAATCCATACCTGCAACTCCAGATGACCACACCACAATAGCATCATTACCTCTGAGCCAGGACACAGTTGGAAACAGGCTCTTCCAGAAGGATCTTCCCAGCTAGCCAGATGACCCACTTGACAGAACACGCCTCAGTCACTCCGTGACTATGTGACCTCTGTTGGGGGAAGTTCCTTCAGAAAAAGCCCCTGTGCTTTTCAGCAGCTCCTACAAGCTCTTGCCGGTCTCAGTAAACCACTTAAAGAGAAAACCAGAGATTTAATTGACAAGGCCACACTGGGAAGAGGAGATGCTAAAGAAGTCCTGTTACCTCCAAGCTCATCTGATACCTGACATGAACTTGAGGTTAAGCAGATGAATTGGAGCAGAGGAAAAGAGACACACATACCGAAGCAGCCCCAGGCAAGGTGTGGCTTGTCTTCGGGTTTTCTCCAAGCTGATTAGGGTTACTCCTGCTCCAGCTGTGGCCTCGCCATCATGGACAGTTGTCCCCAGGGTCTATGCTGTGAATTTCTGCTGTTCCTAGAATCCAAGATGACTTTCAGACTTAGAACTGTGACTGAACACCTTGATGAGCACCTGAAAGGGGACAGTGTTCACCATGCTTCTTTCTGTGTCTCTTAAAACTCCTCACACTCTACCCTTCTTCCCAGCGTCCTCCTAGTCTGGCTCGCCCACCCAATCTCTTCCTGGCCAGCTATTGGCCAGTCAGCTCTTTGTTAACTGATGAGACTAACGCATATTCACAGTGCGCAGAGATTGTTCCACAGCAGGTGGCAAACACACGTAACCCCTGCACATGGGAGACTGAGGCAGGAAGAGTTTGAGACCAGACTGGGATACACAATGAGACCTAAAAAAAAAAAGAGTTGAAGTTGTATTTTCGTTGGTAGAATACCTACCATGTACTAAGCCCCGGGTTCCACCCCAATAATGTATTAATTGGATAGTATGGTGGTAATCAAAATAAAACTTGGCCCAATGAGGTGGCTCATCAGGTCAAGGCACTTGCCACAACCCTGGAGCCCACATGGTGGAGGTGGGGAACTCCTGAAAGTTGTCCTTCAACTTCCACACCCACACCATGGCATACAAGTGAGCAGGTGCACATAAACACACAAATATAAAAATAAAACATAACTCCCAGCACTCAGGAAGTTGAAGGTCACTCTCAGCTACACAGCAGGTTTGCAGCCAGGCTGAGCTATGTGAGACCTTGGCTCAAAAACGAAAGTGGGCTGGGTGCTGGTGGCATGTGCTTTTAGTCCCAGCAGAAGCAGGCAGATCTCCGTGAGTTCAAGGCCAGCCTGGTCTACAGAGTGATTTCCAGGACAGCCAGAGCTACACAGAAACTCTGTCTCAAAACCCCCAAAAGTGGTAGTGGGGGAAGGAAGGAAGGAAGGAAGGAAGGAAGGAAGGAAGGAAGGAAAAGAGAGAGGGGGGAGGGAGGGAGGGAGGGAGAGAGGGAGAGAAGGAGAGAGAGAAAAGAAGGAAGAAAGAATACGGAGTACCGAAATGCCAGGAGGAGAAGGAAGATGCATGTGTAATGATTTTTATTATGGCTGGAGCTTTCTTCTATTTCTCTGCCAAGAATTTCCTTAAGGAATGTACTTTCCCATTTGGTTTTGTTTAAACCATTTGGGAAATCCAAGGTCAGCAGCCTGGAGTGAGGGCTGCTGGGAAAGCAGGAAGGACAGACAGATTCCTGGCAGCAAGCAGTTACCGCCACACCACCCCAGGAATGACTTGTAGCCAGCTCACAGGGAGGCTGGCTGTGCAGAGGGGTCAGGGAGCCTCTGAGGATAGGCTGGGTGGCTCTCTTCTCAGAGGACAGGGCCTCCTTGCCCTGGAACTCCCCAGAGACTCAGATAAACAAGTCATATGACATCAAGCCCTGAAATTAGGCACTCAATAGTGTTGTTTTTGGCCAACTCTCTCCAAAGAAAACTTTTTAGTGATTCATTTTTATTTTACACACATTGGTGTTTTGCCTGCATGTGTGTCTGTGTGAGGATGTCAGATCCCCTGGAACTGGAATTGCAGATTGTTGTGAGCTGCCATGTGGGTGCTGGGAATTGAACCTGGGTCCTTTGGAAGAGCAGCCAGTGCTCTTAACTGCTGAGCCATCTCTCCAGCCCCTTATTTTTCATTTTTCTAAAGGAAAGAACTGAGTTCTCATTCAGTTGGTATTTGCTCTCCTAATTTTATTTTTCTTCATTCATCTGTGGGTTTATGCACCTGTGTATGGGTACCTGCAGAGGCCAAAAGAGTGTCAGATCCCTGAGAGCTGGAGCTATGGGTGGTTGTGAGCATCCAACATGGAATTAGGAATTGAACTCAGGTCCTCTGGAAAAGCAGCTGAGTCACGTTTCCAGTCTTTATTTTGCCTTGATACAGAGCCTCACATATCCCGAAATGGCCTAGAGTTCCCTTAGCATTTCAGAATGACCTAGAACTTGTAATCCGCCTGCCTCCACCACAGTCTTACTCCATCATACCTTATATACTGGCTCTTAAGTTCTGGCATTTGGAACTGAATCCAGCTGAACTCTTAGTTAGAAACCTCCAGGCATAGGGAAACACTAGTCCCAAGGCGATATAGGATTAAAATAGCAAGAGTGTAGGTCGGCCAGGCTTTCCTGACCATATCCAGAGAGTAAAGGTCTCTAGGCTTGGCAAGCCTTTTGGTTTCTGTTATTGTAGCAGGAAAGCAACCACAGACAAGACAGAAATGAGTGTGTGTGGCCAGACTTGGCTCCCTGGACACCATTTACCACCCCTGCAAAAGGAAGACATAAATCCTAGCCTCAGTGTGGTCTCTCCAAGCCAGCTCCATCGAGTTAGAGAGAGACGCTACTTCATTCTGCACACTCATTTCAAGGAAGACAGAAAAGGAGCCAAGTCTCCACAGTATCGGTATTGCCAATCCTAACTCAAAAGGGCAGGTTAAGTAATAAGTCATTAGAAAATAAATGTGTGAGCCAAGTGAGGCGCTACGTGCCTTGCATCCAGCGCTCGCTCGAGGTGAAAGGCTCAGCAGTCAGGGTAGTCCTCAGCTACCTAGAAAATTCAACACCAGCCTGGGATACATGGGAACATAGATTTAAAAAAGAAAACGGGTGGGGGGGGGAAGGAAAAAAAAGAGATGAGAGTTAGTGTTACATTTAAGTAGTCGTGTCAATCACGTTATTCAAAACCACAGTTTTTTTTTTCACCTGTAGGATTTGAGAATTCTAATCCTTATTTTCTTTCTATCTAAGGAAATATCTTGGGACTGGAGAGATGGCTCAGCAGTTAAAAAAAGAGAACTGAGTGCTTTTCCAGAGGACCAGGGTTCAATTCCCAGGACCAACCTGGGAGTTCACAACCATCTGTTAACTGTAGAGAGTTGTGAGACGCAATGTAAGTGCAGAAAACACTCTGCCAGAGCAACACGTGTTCTTAACCACTGGGCCATAGCTGCAGCCCCACTCTGTCTTTTAAAAATAATCTTTTTCATCTATGTATTTTCCTCATTCTGTGTTAAGTGTGGTCAGAGAAAAACATGCGGGACTAAGTTCTCTCCTCCTACCATGTAGGTTCCTGGGCTAGAAGTCTAGTGGCCAGCCTTGATGGCAGCTGCCTTTACTCACTGGGCGCAAAGCGGACCCAGCTTTCAATACATTCTGATCTATTTCCTTGTCCAAAAACCAGTTTCAGATCCCACCGTCATTCCATGTTTAGCCAACAGAGGGCACTTCAAGCTTTCCATACCAAAGCCAAACCATGAGGTCATTTATACACTATGTAGCAACACAACAGTGGCTTTGCTGTGACAATGAACGAGCATACGATCTTTAATAGCAACCCTGAAAAGGATGAGACTCATTTATTTTTCTAACAAGATAGGGCCAGGCATGGTAGCAAACTCCTGAGACCTAGCACTTTGGAGGCAGAGGTAAAGGGATGAAAAGGCCAAAGGCATCCTTGACTACAAAGAGTGGAGGCCAGGATGGGCTACCTGAGACCATCTCAGACAACCAAAAATAAAAATATATTAAATATAAGTCTTATATAAGTCTCCCCCCACCTCTCTCTCCACACACACACACACACACACACACACACACCACTCAAAATCACAAATGACTTGGTTATGATTTAACTGTAAGGAGAAAAAGAAGTAAAAATGAGTCCTAAAGGAGTAAAACCTGCCTCTTTCACCCAACCCCACACAAGACAGTGTTCCCTATGCAAAGACACACAGTCCCGGAGGCTACAGGGAACAGGGACGGTTTAGCAGGAGAAACAACTCTCCCGTAGAACATCCCGGACAGGTCAGGCTTTTTAGTTCTTTACAAATACCGAGTTTTGAAGCTAGACTTCGTGACATGTGTGTAATCCCAGCACTCAGGAAACTGAGGCAAGAGGATTTTTTTTTATTTCAAGCTTGCTTTACATGTAGGTCCCAGCTCCCTCTCCCCCTTCCCCCTCCCCTAGGCCCCCACTCCATTCCCCAGAGAGGGTGAGACCATCTGTGGGGGATCCCCAGAGTCTGCCATTTCGTCCAGGGCAGGGTCCAGGTCCTTCCCGAAGAGATCAGGCTGACAGAGCATCCCTCACTGTGGGATGGGCACCCAAAGTCCATCTGTATGCCTGGGACAAGCACCAATCCACTGCCCAAGGCCCCACAGATTGTCCAGGCCTCCTTGTTGACATCCACATTAAGGAGGTCTGCATCTGTCCCATGATGGTCTCCCAGTCATCAGATGAGGGTCCAAGAGCTCCCCCTTCTTCAGGTCAGCTATTTCTGTGGGTTTCACCAGCCCAGCCCAGTCTTGACCCCTTTCCTCATCACTCTTCCCTCTTTGTCACTGGGTTCCAGGAGTTCAGTTCAGTGTTTAGTTGTGGGTGTCTGCCTCTGCTTCCATCAGTCACTGGATGAAGGTTCTAGGATGGCATATAAGGAACTCTTTATCAGGGAGGGGCATTTAATGTAGTCTCTCCACTATTGCTTAGTTTGCCAGTTGGTGTCATCTTTGTAGATCTCTGGAAATCTCACTAGTGCCAAGTCTCTTCCCAAACCTATAATGACTCCCTCTATTATGGTACCTCTCATCTTGTTCTCCTCTATTCTTCCCCCGACTTAATCTTCTTGCTCCCCCATATCCTCCTCTCCTCCCACCATGCTCCCAGTCTGCTCAGGAGATCTTGGCTCACTCCCCTTATCTGGGGTACCATGCATATCTTTCTTAGGGTCCTACTCTCTGACTGTAGGCTGGTACAAACCCTGAGCCATGTCTAAAACCCATATATGAGTAAGTACAAACCATGTTTGTCTTTTTGTGACTGGGTTACCTCACTCAGGATGGTTTCTTCTAGTGCCATCCATTTGCCAGCAAATTTCAAGATTCCATTGTTTTTTTTTTTTCCGCTGAGTAGTACTCCATTGTACATTTTCTCCATCCACTCTTCAGTTGAGGGGCATCTAGGTTGCTTCCAGGTTCTGGCTATTACAAATAATGCTGCCATGAACATAGTGGAACAGACATCCATGTTTGTATGGATGTTCATTTTTTGGGTACAGAGGCAAGAGAATTTTAAGTTTCAGATTAGCCTGGGCTACATAGTTGAATTCTAGACCAGCCTGGGCTACCCAGTGAATCCTGTTTCAAAAAAAAAGACAAATATTGCTCTTGTAGAGACCCAGAGTTGGATTCCCATTATGTGTATTGGGGGCCCATAACCAGTGGTAATCTAGCTTTAAGAAATCTGAATCCCTCTTCTGGCCTTCACGGGCACTGAACACACACACACACACACACACACACACACACACACACAGAATTATAAATTTAAATCCCTAGGGCCTGGGGACATGGTCAGAGGTTAGGAATGGTTGATGCTCTTCCAGAGGACCCAGGTTCAATTCCAGCATTTACATGGTGGCTCACAACTTTCTGGAACATCAGTCCAAGAAGTTCCAACACCCTCTTCTAGTCATTATGGGCACCGGACATACAAGTGGTGTATAGATGCTCATGCAGGCAAAAATTAAAATTCAAAAGTAAATAAATCAATGAACCTTTAAAAACAAACAAACAAACAAACAAAAAAGCCTGATTGTAGAGAGAAGCCTTTTCCTTGCCAGCTGCTTTGGTTTTTCCCCACCAGTCGCCTGGGCTCTGCCCCGTTGTAGTCCCCAAATGAACACACAGGACACTGTATTAATTATGAAGCTGTTGGCTGTTTGCTTGTTTCTTACTGGCTATCTTTGACTTAAGTATTTAACCCATCTAAGTATTTCTCTTACCGGACGGACATCTTACTTCTCTGGTGGGCTACGTGATGACTCCCTGTGTTTCTCCTACCCAGAGTCCTCCTGGACTCCTAGTCCCACCTATTTTGCTTCCCTATTGGCCAACAGTGCTTTATTGACATATATACAGGATTTCCCCATCACCTGATTTTGAAGCAAGAGGAATGTCTTCCCTAACCCATCACCTACCAGCCCATTTTGGTAGCTAATATTATAAGCTTTGTGACTAGTTGAAATAAGGGTTTACATATGCTTTTCTTGATTTCCACCACTATCCTAATGCCTTAAAAACAGTAATCTACCCAAAGTTCTTAGCACACAATCATGTCTGTGAAATCACTAAGTCTAGGGTGGCATTCAAAAAGTTCCCACAAGTACTCATGATTCGTAAAGAAAAAGGTCTTGTGTCACTAGAAGGTAGTAAGTGATAATTACCACCCGGGCTCTGGATCCAGGCTGCCTGCATTTGTGCTCCACCCCCAAGATTTACTCATTGGACAAGGCTGGGAAAGATACTTTATTTCCCTGAACGTATTCATTATCTAGACAAATGTGGGTCTCAGCACAGCCCCCACCCCCTGGGATATCTATCATTCAGGCTCCAGTTCCAGGCAAAGTGGTTTGCACTGGGCCTTGACCTTGAAGGAGCTCTGGGTAATCCTCCTCAGAATGCTGGCTAAGGGATTACTGTGTTTTCCCCCGTTTCCTTTCTTTCTTTTTAAAAAACAAGTTTTAGATTTTGTGTCTATGAGTGTTTTGCCTATATATTTGTATTTGTATATACAGCATGCATGCTGTGCCAAAGGAAGCCAAGGGGGAGCTCTTGGACCCCAGACCGACAGCTGGGAGGCCAGCATGGGGCTGATCCAGACCCCTGAGCTGAGAGTCAGTGAGGAGGCCTGGGCAACCTATAGGGCCCTGGGCAGTAGATCAGTGTTTACCCCTGGCATACAAACAAACTTCATGTGTCCAAAACACAAAGAGGGATGCTCTCTCAATCTGGACTCTTGGGGGAGTGCCTGGACCCTGCCCTGAGCGAAATGACAGACTCTGGATATCTCCTATGTGGAAGGAAGTGGGGATGGGGTGGGAGGCTGGGGGGATGGTGGGGAGTGCGGGAGGAGGGGAGGGAGAGGGAACTGGGATTGATATGTGAAGCAAGCTATTTAAAATTAAGGTAGTAAAAAAAAAAATCTTGTTCCATGCCTGGCACTGGAAACATAATCGATGTTATTATTATTATCTCCATTATTCTGTGTTCCACAATAACTGCTTCTTTTGAAACAGTCAGTTCTTTGACCTTAAACACAGCATGCCAGGATCAACACAGAACAGGATTCATTAAAGACTGGCAACAGGTCTTTGAAATAAGTTACAGAAATCTTCACCAGGAAAGTGAAGTGTCCTTTAATCACAGCACTGGAGGCAGAGGCAGGCTGATCTCTGTGAGTTCAATGCCAGCGTGATCTATACAGCAAGTTCCAGGGCAATCAGAACTACAAAGAGACCCCATCTCAAAACAAACAAAACTTCATTAAGAAATGATCATGCTGCCAGGCGTTGGTGGCACACGCCTTTAATCCCAGCACTTGGGAGGCAGAGGCAGGCGGATCTCTGTGAGTTCGAGACCAGCCTGGTCTACAGAGCGAGTTCCAGGACAGGCTCCAAAACATTACTGAGAAACCCTGTCTCGAAAAAAACCAAAAAAAGAAAGAAAGAAAGAAAGAAAGAAAGAAAGAAAGAAAGAAAGAAAGAAAGAAAGAAAGAAATGATCATGCCAAGGGCTGGGGAGATAGAAGGCTTATGAGGTGAAGTGCTTGCTATGCAAGCCTGAGGATATGGGTTCAGATCCCCAACACCCATGTAAAAGTCAGGCATGATAGAGGTGCAAGCCTCTATAACTCCAGAGATGGTACAGACAGGTGGATGCTGGCCAGCTAGTCTAGCAGCCTAGCCAAAAACAAGCTCCAGCTTCAGCCAGAGACCTTGTCTCAAAATCTATGGCGAAGGGTAAGAGAAGGACACCTGACATCAACCTCAGGCCGCACATACATGCATGACCAAGCATGTGTGCACAAAGCCACATCTGCCCCAAGTGCAAACACGCATACACACACAAAGGGGGAGGGAGAGAGATGGTACAGAGAGGACCTACAGCACAGCCCACAGGAAGCCGGCTTAGCGCCATCTGAGGTCTGTGCCTCTGAGGGACAGTACTGAAGACACAACCACTCGAATGCTTCACATTTAAGCTTTTATTCTGAAAAATAAAATACAAAAGTCATTAGGTTGTAAATGTATACAGTAATTTCCCAACATCTCTGAAACAATACAATGAATTATTTAAATAATTAAGGTATTTACTATTATCCACATCAATACATTTAAACAGGCACTGGTGTTGTACAAAACACTGGAACATGTACAGACAACCTATTCTGAATGAGACTGCCAATTTTGTTAACAAATGCCATCTTTAAAGTCTCCTGCTCCTGAAATTGAGCCTGGAATCTGGTAAGAAAAGACACAGACAAGAGGAGCTGTAACAGAGTTGTGCCCTTGCTGGGTTCCTAATCTTGAGGGTTGTGCATGTCAGGGGCTCAAGAGCCATCACTCAGGGAGGCTGGCTGTGTGACACCTCTCTAAGGGACGAGGCTGGCAGGTGGTTGGGACACCCCACTTCTCCCAGCAGAAGACAGCAGTTCCAGAGATCTCCCTTCTGTAGAAAAGGCAGCCGTCGTCCTGTCCCTAGGGCAAACACAGCATGTGGTCACAGGCACAGGTCAAAGCTTCCCAGTTTGCACCAGGGAGTGGGTGGGCTCCTGCAGTTCAAGGGCAGGAGGGCGGATAGGCAGAGCACAGTGCCTCTGAGGGACTTGATGTTTCCAGTACCTGCAAATAACTTCAAGGTACAAAGCAAGAGAATACAAGGGCTACCACAGACCCTTTCTAATGATGGCAACAGTCACTGCGCCTGAGGCTACCACTAATGTCCAATGCCACCACAGTGACTTTTCATTATGTGACATGACCTTCACAGATGAACAGGAACTCTGGGATCACTCTAACTAGTCAGCGCATAGGTCCTGGGCCTCTCGGGTCTGTTAGTTCCTCACAATGTTAAAGCCCCTTCCAAACACCATCTCTACACTTACTCTATGCCAGACTCTGAGGAGGTCACGTCAGTTAGATCTTACCATGGATCTCTGCTTAGCATACTCTTCATTTCACAGATAAGGAAACAGACACAGAATTAAGCTGCTTGGTGCCAGGGCCAATGCCAACCCAGGCTGCCTGAGGCCAGAGCTGTGCTCTCTATCCGGGCACACAGCTGTCTCTGCCAGCCCAAGTGGAGAATCCCACCCAGCAGCACCCAGCAGGCCTCACCTCGATGTGGGAAATCCCAGGCTCAGCTACTCCACTTGCTCAGCCTGTGGAAGGAACCCATAGATACGTTAAAATCCTTGCAGTCAGCCGGTGAGCAGAAGAGGTGACTGCTCTCATCAACACACCAGGCATGGCTCAGAGGGCTGTGATGGCTAACATACATTCAAGGTTTAAACTAGTGTGCACATACAGGCTGCATCCCAGTTGCCCACTTCCCTTTCCCGCCAAGACATTGAAGATTCTTCTTAAAACTGACTGATCTTGTCAAATTTGCTGTTTCAGCAAAATAGTAGTAGGTCATTAGACTAACTGCTATTTCTGCTTTTGTAATCAAGCTTGCTTTGCTAAAAAAGATGACAAGGATAATTGCAAGACATATATGTTAAAGCAAGACCCTGGACAGGACAGAATACATACACATGGACAGAACACATACAATCTTATGGTTTTGCCCTTATGAGCCCCGGGCTGATATGGCTGGGGCTGCATCCTGGAAGCGCTCTCAGGTGCAGTCCTGGCCCCATGTTGGAGGTCAGCACCTAAATAAAAACCCTCTTCTTATTAAAATATATTTATGGTCAGGGTGAATGGCCCTTTGAGCAACCCCAGATCCCTAACAGGGTCTGCTCAGAGTTTTACATAAACTCAGCCTGTAACTGTTCTAAAGAAAGAAGTTGGACCGGCCTTTCCCACACTCCAGGGACAGACTAAATCCTTGGCATCTCCTGAGTAATAGGGATGCCTTTGTTCCTCATGAGCCCCATGAGTCACATCTGAGTCTATGTTAGGACACGAGATGACAGGGTGGGCTCATTATCAAAGATCAACCCTGTGGCCGGATGTTTGAACCTTTGAGTCAGCCTGGCCTCAAGTCAAATGCTGGGAGCCACAGTCCAGGAGCACACGAACAATCAGAAAGAATGTGAGTTCTTATTCCACAGGGACAGGACACAGTTTTCCCCGGGGCAGAACAGGCTGGCTGAACTCACAGCAGTCCTCCTGCCTCTGCCACTGGTCTCTGGGATTACAAGCATGTGCTGCTATGCCCAGAAAGTGTCAATTTCTTTCTTCTTTTTTTGTTGCAGGGTTTCATGCAACCCCAGAGGACCCTGAACACTCTGTGTAGCTGAAGATCACCTGGGACTTGATCCTTCAGCCTACAGTTCACAAGAATTGAGACTACAAGCATGCGCCCACACTTGGACCCATTTCTTCCTTAAGCCATAACCTTTCCTTCAAGTTTTTATTTATTTAATGTGTATGGGTATTTTGCTTACACGTATGTCTATGCATCATGTGAATCCCTGGTACCTGAAGAAATAGAAGAGGGCATCAGATGCCCAGGACCTGGAGTTACAGGTGGTTGGGAGCCACCATGTAGGTGGCTTGGAATTGAACTTGGTCCTCTGGAAGAGCAGCCATTATACATACTTATTTAGTTTTGTGTAGACAGGTGTTTGTGTGGTGTTCTGTGGGGGAGTCCACAGCACAGGTATGGAAGTCAGAGGAAAGCCTTCAGGAGTCAGTTCATCCACTTTATGGTGGTTCTAGAAACCAAACACAGGTTGTCAGGCTCGACGGCGATGCCTTTACCCACTGAGCTATTTCACCAACTCTACCGTTGTTTATTGTCTTTGTTTAAGATAGAGTCTGGCTCTGCAGCCCAGGCTGGCCTTGAACTTATTATCCTCCTGCTTCTATCTTCCCAGTGCTGGGAAAACAGATATGGTCACTATATCTAGCTATGGCAAGTTTTAATAAGTAAATATTCTCAACTCAGGTGTGTAATTTATCATCCTCCCCCCAAGACAGGGTTTCTCCACTATCCCTGGCTGTCTTAGAACTCACTCTGTAGACCAGGATGGCCTCAAACTCAGAGTTCTGCCTGCCTCTGCCTCCTGAGTGCTGGAATTAAAGATGTGTGCTACCAATGCCCCACAATATATCATTCTTTAAAATCATGGTCATGTCTTTCTGGCTGAAGAAATCTTCCCCTCTAAGCGACTGGGACATTCTCTTGTATGCTTCCACCCACTGCCTTCTCCATCTGGAGATGATTGAGTGGGTGTTGAAGCATAGGATCTCCTTCAGTTTCGGTCTCAAATCCCCTTTCTGGGTTTCTTCAACTTTATTCTGACTCCTGCTTTCTGGTTCCCGTTTCCAAGATTCCAAGACTGTGAGTAACAGTCCCTTTGGGAATTCATCCAGGGCTCTGGGATGTCATGCACACTTTGGGCCTGGCCCTGTGCTCCCCTCTATGTAAGTGTCAGGTCTTTTAGGATGATCGAGTTCCTTGAGAAGAACTTTCCTTTTCCTCCAACTCCTGAGGATGTATCCTAATTTCTCATTCATAACAGATCCCTGGCAAACAACTGTTGAATACACGAAAAAGTTTAATATATGCTGCTAAGAATATGCCTTGAATGTACTGTGAGGCTCTCTAGTGTCAGGCATCCTTATGGAGCACTGGTAACAAAGAATGGTAAGGTAGGGTGCTTCATCCCTGGTGGGTGATAAGGTCACTGAGCTCCAGAGGACAGCCTGCTTACTCCAGGCTTGCTGCATGAGACGCAGCTCACACAGACACATAAGGCAGTATTTCCTTTGCAATCATAACTGAAATTTAGAAACTGAGGTCAGCACCCTAGAGATAGTATGCCTCGGCCCATGCCGAACATCAAGGCTAATGCAGATAGGCAGTGATGTCTACTACTCCCAGCAGCTACACAGGTGACAAGGGATGATGGGACACTCTGTGCTACCTCAGGCACACCCACCATAACATTTTCTTTTTTTCTCCAACTCGGGACATAACAGAACACAAGTGAATTGAAACGTTACGATTGTAATTGCAGATTGGTTTTTTTTTTTGTTTTGTTTTGTTTTTGAGATGGGATCCTACGATGTAGGCCTGGCTGTTCTGGAACTTACTATGTAGACCAGGCTGGCCTCAAACTCACAGAGATTTGCCTGCTTCTGTCTCCCAAGTGGGACTAAAGGTGTGTATTACAATGCCTGGCTCAAGGATTGGTTTATTTGTTTATTTGTTAGAGTCTGAATAGCCTTGGCTGTCCTAGAATTTACTCTGTAGACCAGGATGGTCTCAAACTCACAGAGATCCACCTGCTCCTGCCTCCCAAGACAGATAAAATGCATGTGTCACCCTGCCCAGTAGTTTCATTTTTAAAGTCATAAGGGTTACAAGCTTTGAACTCTCACCATTTGCTGACAGCCAACTGCTGTGTGCACTATACATTACAGGTCTTTTAGTCTCCAATGTGAGAACAGTTAAAACATCACAGATGTGAATACCATAAAAATATCAAAAGTGGCAGCATATTCTTAATGCAAAGCAGATGTTCAGGAGGCTGAGCAGACTCATGTGTGAAATACTGTGTGGCTGTGTGTGCAGTCACATACACGTTATCAATGCAGCACCTCCCTAGCTGTGGAAGGCCCTCAGCTCTCTCAACTCACAACCATTCGCTGCCACCAGCACAGGTCATGTCTTTTCCTATTTCCCTTACTTATTTGTTTCTTTGTTGAAAAGGGCTGGCCTGGAACTGCAATGTGTAGCCCAGGCTGCCTTGGACTTGTGGTGATCCTTTCATCTCAACTGATGGCTACAAACCAGCCCACCTGGCTTTATTTTCTTGTTTTCATTTTTAAAATTTCCCTGTCTTTCCAAAAGCTTACTTTATGGAAGACGCAGCTCTCACGTAAAGGAAGAGGAAAGGGGAGAGGTGCGCATACGGTACCTGGGGTTTTTCTTTCAGAAAGTCGGGTAGCTGAAATTCTCCTTTATAGACCTGGAAAACAGAGCAGGAGTGAGTTTCAGGAAACAGGAGCCTCCTGGTGCACATCTGCAGCCCCTGGGTTGCTGCTTCACTCCCGGGGAGTTTGGAATGAGAGAGGAACCTGCCATTTCAGGGCAGCGAGAGAGACAGCGAGTGAGTCCCTCCTCCTGCAGCAACTGCCCCAGAGCTCCTGAGCTGGCTGGCTAAGAGAGGGCAGGGTGGTGGGGGAGGCAATCAAAATAAAAATGCCCGAGCATCTGAAGTGTCACTCCTAGTCACCGGGAGAAAGCGAGTCCTGGGTGACCTCCCTCAGAATTCACCTGAGTTAGATGCAAGCTTTTCCTGACTGCCCATCAATTTGCAGTTACAACCCTGGATTTGAGTCGACATCAGTTTCCTCAGTTTACCCAAGAATCCTATTAACCTATGTTAGATGATCCTTAAAGTGACGCCTATTTAAAGCTCATAGATCTTTTCTTCTGAGACAAGGTCATCCCAGACTGACCTTAAATGCATTATTTAACCAAGAATTACCTTGAACTTCTAATCCTCCTGTTTCCACTGTCCCATTGCTGGGATTACAGGCCTGCATCATTATGCTTGGTTTATACAGTCCAAGGGATGGAATCTAGGACTTTTGGCGTGCTAGGTAAGAAAACTTAGCCCCATGGACATATGTTTGAATACTTGGTTCTCCCAGTTGGTAGAACTGTTTCAGAAGGGGTAGAAGGTGTGGCCTTGTTGGAGGAGGTCTGTCACTGGGGGCAGCCTTTAAGATTTCAAAACTCACACCATTCCCAGTGTGTTCTCTCTCTCCCTCTCTCTCTGCTGTTTGTGGATTGGAAAATGAACTCTCAGCTGCTGCTCCTGTGTCAACAGGCCTGCTGCTTGCTGCCATACAGACTTTCATGAAACCTTAAGACCAATTAATTACTTTCTTTTCTGTATTGCTTTGTTAATTGTGTTTTGTTACAGCAACTGAAACGTAACTAATATTGTGTATATGTATACACATATACACACACACACAAATTCTTGCTAAAGAAGCAGCTATAATTAGGACAAGGGATACACTATAACAAACCCTCACTTCCAGATACAGTGTGACAAAAGCAGTTCTGAGGAACAACACACTCAGAATGGACAAGTAAACCAGGTACAGGGTTGCACATCTATAATCCAAGCAGTTGGAAGGTGGAGGCAGGAGAATCTCAAGTTTACGGCTAGCCACAGCTACACAGTGAGTTCAAGACCAGCACAGGCTACTTGAACCCTGGTCTCCAAAAATCTCCAGTCAGGATGTGATGGTATATGTTTTTATTCCCAGCATTTGTGAAGCAGAGGCAGGTGGCTCCCTGAGTTTAAGGTCAGCCTGGTCCATATAACAAGATACAGGCTGGCCAGAGATATATTGTGACGCTCTGTCTAATAAAGGATGTGGTTCATTGGCAGAGTAATTTCCTAGTATGTATGATGTCCTAGCTTTAATCCCCAGGACCACTAAATAATAATAAATTATTAAGCATAGTCAATATGTATAGTGTATACTCTACAATAAAAACAATATGAATTGCTATACTACTAATGACACATAATCATGATAGTGTCTATAGGGAAGAGACAGATCTAAGAAATACATTGTCTTGATATTGTAATCATTTGTGATCTTGTATTGATATGTTGGATATACTTCTCTGTATATATACTTCAATAGGAACAATTCAATAACTAAATTAACTCAATGGCTTAATATTAAAAAGGTTTTGCTTACTAGTCATGGTGGTACATATCTGGTATGCAGTACTTGAGAGGCAGAAGCAGGAACAGAAGAATTTTCAGTTTGAGGCCATCTTTCACTACACAGTGAGACCCTATTTTTCTTTCCAAAACAAACAAATTACAACTAAAACACATGCATACCCATTGTTGAAGTATAAAAATGTTTGCTCCAACACAGTTTGCAGTAGTTTTGCTTTTGTTTATTTAAGAACTATTAATGTCCACCGGGCGCTGGTGGCGCACACCTTTGATCCCAGCACTTGGGAGGCAGCAGCACGCAGATCTCTGTGAGGTCAAGGCCAGACTGGTCTACAAAACAAGTTCCACAGTGCCAGGACTGTTACACAGAGAAACTCTGTCTCAAAATACAAGATAGATGGATGGATGGACGGACGGACGGACGGACGGGCAGAAGTTTGAGCCTGATGTGGTGGCACACACATTTATTTATTTATTTATTTATTTATTTATTTATTTATTTATTTATGGTTTTTCGAGACAGGGTTTCTCTGTGGCTTTGGAGGTTGTCCTGGAACTAGCTCTTGTAGACCAGGCTGGTCTCAAACTCATAGAGATCTGCCTGCCTCTGCCTCTGCCTCCCGAGTGCTGGGATTAAAGGCATGTGTATCACTTGCAATAAAGACACACACACACACACACACACACACTCTCTCTCTCTCTCTCTCTCTCTCTCTCTCTCTCTCTCTCTCTCTCTCTCTCTCTCTCTCTCTCTCTCTCTCTCTCTCCTGGCAATAAAGGCAGCACATGCATTCTCTTGGTACAAACAGCTGGACATCTTGTCTTTCTTTTCCTGATACCTTGGACTTGCTTGCGGCGTGGGCGCAGCAAGAAGGAATTGATACTAGATTCTGTTATGGGATATTTGACCACAATGTGACACTCCAAGACTGCTAAATAAAGTTTACCTTGAATCATGGGATGGAACCAGCACCTAGCTGACTGGAATTGGCCATGACTGCTTTTTAGACTACAATACCTGCAGGAGCCCCCACCCCATCATAGATATTGACATATACCTGCTGAGACCCTGTCTGTGAATCTCTAGGGTATCTGATCTGGGACAGGGCGTTTACATCAAAGGAAGTGTTTGTGGTCAACATCATGTTCCTTACTACTACCTTCCCTGTTTACTTGGGGATCTGAGAGCCTGCTATAGGCTTGTGCTGTGAAACCACTCCTATGCTCAGAGAGCTGTAAGAAGAATTGAGCCTGATCCTTATCCCCAGAGACCCTGCCATAGTGTCTGTCTCCAGTGCTTGGGGTTGGACTCTCCTCAGAGTCCCAACCACATTGCTGCCCCCTGTTTTTGGTGTTAATGACTCTTCTAATAAACTTATCTCCCAGCCGGGTGTTGGTGGCGCACGCCTTTAATCCCAGCACTCGGGAGGCAGAGGCAGGTGGACCGCTGTGAGTTCAAGGCCAGCCTGGTCTACAGAGTGAGTTCCAGGACAGCCTCCAAAACAATACAGAGAAACCCTGTCTGGAAAAAACCAAAAAAAATTAAAAAATAAAAATAAACTTATCTCCCAACAAACCATCTCTTCAGTTTTCCTCTCCAACCCACATCAGAGACAGTTCAGCTGCACCTGGGTTCCCCAGTTCTGGATGCTAAGATCATTATGTTTGTGGTTTTAAACCGCTAATAGCCCTGAGGGTAATGTGTTGTATCTCAGCACATAAGCAACATGGGATGAGATTACTACATTGCAACACATACCTAAAATGTGGACAGAATCAGCAAGGAGAAGAAGGTGTGATCCAGGACTTTAAGGAGAGCAGCTAAATGGCCAAAAGCTGAGTTAGCACACTTTGGACTTGGAAGAGCCTACCTATCAACATTTTAACAGGTGGGAGGGACAACACGGAGGCAGGGAGAGCTTTGTTCAGGAGTAGCTGAAACTTTAGCAACCTGAATATGAAGAAAGCAGAACTATGCCTAATGAACCGAAGGGTACAGCCAAGGAGACTCCAAGCCAAGAGTTAAAGGTACCACCTCATTGCTTCCTGATACATACAGTGAAAGACACCAGAGGAACTTAGGAAAGAACTGTAAAGAAAAGGAGCCGAGGCCTTCATCCTCACTGTACAGTGTGGCAAAGCCATACTCCCTCCACAGATTCTACTCCCATCACCACAGCATCTTCTCTTACCCAGCCCTCATAAGGACCTGAATTACACCTGTAAACTCCCTAGTCACAGCATAGGAATGGGAAGTGGATGTCTATCATATGAAAATAATATATACCTAGGGCACTGCTCCCAGAACATCTGCAGTGTGTAGGTGGGGACCCAGGGTTAAACACAGTGCTGTGGTAACACAGTCATGTAGCCTGCACAGACAAAAACAAGCAAAACAAAAGCAAAAACAAAACAAAACAAAAAAACCCTCTCACATGGAGTCTAGAAAGATGATCCAGCGCTTAAAAGCATTTGCTCCTCTTCCAAAGAACCCTGTTCAATTCTCAGTACCCACATCAGGTAGATCAAAACCACCTGAAACTCCAGCCCTAGAGGATCCAATACCCTCTTTCTGGACTCTGCAGGCACGTGTATTCACATGTGCAAGTGCACGCGCGTGTGCATGCCTGCACACACACACACACTAAAATAAATATATCTTTAAAACAACAAACAAACCTCTCACACATGTCCTTGAATCTTTTTTAAAATTTACTTATATTACATCCCAACCGCAGTTTCTCCTCCCTCCTCCCCTCCACACAGCCCCAATCTACTCCTCCTGATTCTGCTCAGGAAGGGGCAGGCCTCCCATAGGTATCAACAAAGCATGGCATTTCAAATTGCCATAAGACTAAGCACCTCCCCTTATCTTTAGGCTGGGCCAGGCAATCCAGTATGAGGAGTAGGTTCCCATGAGCCAGCCAAAGCATTAGGGACAGGCCTTGCTCCCATTGTTAGGAGTCCCATAAATAGACTACACAACCGTCACATATATGGAATGGGCTTAGGTCAGTCCCACACAGGCTCCATGGTTGTTGGTTCAAACTGGGAGTCCCTCTGAGTCAGGCTGGTTGTTTCTGTGGATTTTCTTGTGATAGCCTTGACCCCACTGGCTCCTGCAATGCTTTCTCCCTCTCTAATGTCTGGCCGTGGGTCTCTGCATCTATTTCCATCAGTTACTGGATGAAGGCTTTGTGATGACAGCTGGGGCAGTCACCACTCTCATCACAGGGGATGGCCATATCCACTAT